GCTAACGTCTCCTACCGCTGCGCTGGGCACCCCGTCCTGGGGCAGGGGCGGCCGCGGGGAGCTGGGGACAGGACAGCGGAATTGAGCGGGCACCTTCAGCTGCCCGGGAGAGGGGTCTGGAAGGGGCAAAGCAGTTTTCTTCATGCAAGAAATTGGGCGTTTTTCTTCTCAAAATCTGAAGCAATAGCTGAGACATATTATAGGTGCCCAATTGCTAAATCTATCACGTTCATAAGCTTAGCCACTCTTCATGGGATGTTTTTACGTTTCCTCTATTTTTTTTTTGTATGCCTGAACAATATCTCTCCCCTACTGTTTTGTTTGTTCTCTTTTTCCTATGGAAAATACTATTATTCATCCTGACTGCAGTCTTGTGAAAACTTAGGTATCTGTACATCTTCTATGGACCTTAAAAACCATGCTTTCATTGTTTTTTCTTAATTTTACTGATCCTGACTGAGAGGGATCAGATCTTTATTCATCAATCCAGAGAAACAAAGAAAGAAAGAATACTTAGAATCCCTCAGATTACAGTTGGAAGACAACAGCTAATTGACACTGCTATGGAGCTAGACTCGATTTTAACCTACAATCTTGATTATATTCATTTTTAAATGGCATTTTAATCTTTAAATGTACTGATTTCAATTTTCTTCTGTAAACTAGAAAAAAAAAAAGGACAATTCCAGCTATTGATTTGAAGCCCAAAACTTGTAAAAAGAAGAAAAAAAAGAAATCTTGACCAAACAAAAACGCTGCAGTTTCTTTTCTTGCCAAGGCAGAACACAATTTGATCTTTTGTTTACAGGGCCTGGGCAACAGTCGCACGTTATCATCTGCTTACTCTTTCAGAGAAAGTGGCAACGTGTGTGATTGAGAAGCTCTGCTCTAAAGGACTTTGGCTATGTTTGTTTCATGCTTTAACAAAATCTGCAGAAAGATATTTTAAAAGAATGGAAAATGTTCAGGCACATTGCAGATGCCGCAGGACTGCTGAGGTAACCATAGACAGTCATCTGTGGAGCTGTTCTGCTTACTTTTATGTTCTTTCTAGCATACCACAGAAAGGGTGAACCTGCTGTCAATAGAAAGAGGCTGCCAGAGAGAGAGAGAGAGAGAGAGAGAGTGAGAGAGAGAGAGAGAGAAGGAATTTATTCTTTTGTCAGGTTTCTCACATAGTAGTTAATTTAATACATTTTAAAACATGGAGTATATTGTATGAGTAGGAGGAAATAATGGCCTAGAAATGAAATGTATTTAATTATTAAGGATTCATTAGCTTCTAATATTCTTTCATTTCTTATCATTATTTTGGTTAAATTGCTACAATCCATGGTTTTGAAAACCAGGCATTCTATAAAGTAATATTTCTCCCTCTGTCATTTAACCTATTTCGCCCAAATAAAATGCTTTCCATGACTTTACTTGCTAACAATAGAATCATTTTACTTATTACAGGAAAATTCATTATTCTGAGTCTTCATATTCACCATCTAGAGTTATCTTCTGGTAATTTTTAAATGTATCAAGTCACATCTTAGCTTTCAAGTCTAGTGGGTTTATAATGAGGTCATACTTTATTCCGTTTTATGGCTAGTTTGCCACACTGAAATATAAGAAGGTCAAGTGACTTGCCCAAGATCTTACCATGAGTCAGGATGGAGCATAAAATAGAGTGTGAGCCCTTGTTCAGGGCTCTAATCTTAGATTATATATGGATGAAATCAATATCTGAAATTTTTAAACATGCAATGTGAAGGATTTGCCCTCATCAAGCAGATTCTTCTAACAACTTAGATGATTCCAGGGTTTTCATCTTGACCAACACAAAGGTCACAGTTTGAACTCTGTGGGTCCACTTATAGGTGGATTTTTTTCAATAAATACCTGTACTGTTGGGAGTCCACAGATGCAGAGGGCCGACTGTATGCATTGATCTGCGCCATTTGTATACTGGTGACTTGAACATCCTCGGATTTGGGTTTCTGCAAGAGGCCCTGGAACCAATCCCCCATGGATACCAAGGGACAACTTAAGTTTTGGATCCATCAAAAGTTATACTCGGGTTTTCAACTCCCCGCACCCTTAACCCCCACGTTATTCAAGTGTCAATTGTACAATAGGCTCCTCTGGCCCACACTTCCTGAGGCTTCAGTTACCCATGGTCAACCGCGGCCCAAAAATATTAAATGAAAAATTCCAGAAATAAACAATTCATAAGGTTTAAATGGCATGCCACTTTGAGTAGCATGATGCAATCTTGCGAGTCCCGCTTCATCCTGCCTGGGACATGAATCATCCCTTTGTCCAGCATATCCATGCTGAATAAGCTCCCCACCTGTTTGTCATGTAGTGGCTGTCTGGGTTATCAGATAGATTGTTGCTGTATCGCAGTGCTGTGTTCAAGTACCCCTTATTTTACCTAATAATGGCCCCCAAAGTGCAAGAGTAGTGATGCTGGCAATTCAGATACTCCAAAGAGAAGCTATAAAGTGCCTCCTTGCCCTGGCCTGTGTGGCTCAGTTGGTTGGAGCATTGGCCCCTGCACCCGAATGGTCTCGGGTTCGATTCCCAGTCAGGGCACATACTGAGGTTTCGGGTTCAATCCCTGATTGAGGCATGTATGGGAGGCAACCAATCAATGTTTCCCTCTCACATTGATTTTTTCCCTCTCTCCCTTACTCTCTCAAATCAATAGAAACATATCTTTGGATGAGAATTTAAAAATAATAGTTATAATAATAAATACATAAATAAAAGTTTTAAATTGTTTCCTTTTAGTGAAAAAATAGGTATATATAGGAGAAAACATACATTATAGGGTTCAGTACTATTGGTGATTTCATGCATTCACTGGGGTCTTGGAACATAATGCCCACAGATAAGGGGGGACTACTCTAACCTCCTGAAAGTGGATAAACTTAATTTATGGAGAGATCAGCGATGAGGAAAATAAGCCACATTATTATATATCATAATTTACTGAGAACCAAGTCTATGGAATATGTCATGATATTGAGAGAAAATGGTTATCATTATTATTTAAATAAAATAATGTTAACTAGACCAAGAGTAGAAAGAATGAAGCCCCAAACCAGGAATCTCAGTTTTGAATATCATTTCTGTTAGTAACCAGATCACCCCACCCCTCTGAGTCTAACAGAAAGAATACAAATGCCATTATTGTACATACTCCTGGGGAAAACAAGAAGTTTGAATTTAATCTGTAAGTTCTTTCCAGTCGTAAAACCCTGTGGCTGAGATTATAACATATGATTATAAAATATACATATATCCCATATACATATTACACATATGTGTCATATATGTATGCATACTTCAATATACAGATATTGAAGATGAAGTGGAAAAAACGGAGAAATGGAAATAGTTTAAAAATTTTTTAAAAAAAGAATTTGCTGAGCATTGACTATGGCTAGGTCCTGTGTTAAATGTGTTATTTCATTCTTCTGCCCATTCCTTATGTGGAAACTGAGGCACTGAGTGATTCAGTGATTTGCCTAATTTAAGTGGTGGAACCCAAGATTCTAGCTCAGAGAACCAAGCATGTAAGAATCACACTATATCTATTATTTAATAGGATTTATTTTTTATTTAATTTTTTGTTGGGGGAGTGGAAAGAATAAGTTTAAATGTTGACTTTAAAGAGATACTTCTTACCCATTTAGTTAAAATTAAAATAAGATCATAGGAATGTCATAATAGCTCCATTTGACACACAGGAGTAGAGGGTCTGTGAGAGAAAACTCAAGCAAAACCTTACCTTTGTGATGCCTTCTAGGTGAAGGGCATCTCTCACCGTGCAGATGAGGCCTAAGGAGGCAAGGAGCCTTTCTCACCGTCGAACATTCAGTCGATGTCTCTATGCTTGCATCAAAAGAGGTGACTGGGTGTGCCCTAATCCTAGTCCTGTTCCAAACCCTATCTCCAGGATTTGGTCTTTTAAGTTTCTCTTCTACAAAATTGTCTTGGAGCAAACCTGATTTTTAAGACATCAATTTATGCAAATCAAAGTATAGTCCTGAAA